AATTATGCAAGTGCCCATAATTTGGTATCCATGCACCAAAATTTTGTGAACAGTTGGGGACATCGGGTACCAAGAATAAGTTGACATATACAAACTAAATGTTTCAGAGCAAAACTTTTTAAATTTTGTTGTTGTTACAAATAGTGATTGAAATCTTTGCTTATAGATACTTTGCCCTGTTGAACCATCAAATCCATAACTCAAAACCAATTTATAATGTGTTGTTTCAGAAACATTTAGGACATCTTGCTGCATATCAAGGATGCGATCAACCGTATGATTTTACAGATTTTGTAGACGCACTTCGGCTTTTGTTTCAGAGAAACATATATCTTTTGAAATGTAATTTTTCTTTTGCCACTTCTGAATAAGGTGGATAAATGTCACAATCATGTAGTTTGTTCATTGCTTTTATGTTTAAAGATTGCTGCTTTGTAAATCCGCCTTCAATAATAAATGCCAGAGCGTTTTCAGGACTAATTGGACTAGGCATTTTGGCTTCTACTCTTTTTCTAAAATTGTTTATATTATCGTTGCTTAATGTTTTTTTTTGACCAATGTCATGTCTTTGTCTTTCGACTTTTTTTGCCGATACCGAAGCAGCATGTATAAGCAACTGGGTCGAATGATTTTGTTGTGTGGCAAGATCAGATGCTAGCTTTCTTTTTAATCAAGATAGCTAAGTTCTTTACGGCCAGCTTTACTTTGCAAAGTACCTTCACAATCAATTATCACCCTACCTTCAAGCCACCTTGCATGATGCATTTTAAACCTTTCCAAATTCCGGTTGCACTTTGGCAGATGCTTTCTATTATTATTTTCGCTAATATTATTGTTAATTTTTTTAATAATAAAGTTTTTTACCGCGTCTTCTAGGCGGTTGTTGTTGGTCCATACCTCCAGAAGCTCTGCACGACAAAACTCGTTTTTAACTGCAAAAACTAAGTTTTTTCCAAAAGGAACAAAAAGGAGCAAACGAGTTTAACAGATTCCGAACTTGGACATAATACACAACAACTGTTACATCAAACCTCTGTGAAGTGGTGTGCTGCACAAAAGTAATACTCCACGGAACACACGTACATTTGTTAATTTTTAGGTAAAAATACACATAGATAACAGACTGGACAACTGGACAATAACACAATTACAATCTAAAAGTAATAGCAATAACTTATTGTACATACCATTAGGTACGTTTTCCATTATACACTTTCTTTGTTTATGTTTACACAAAAACTCCACTTTAATTGCAAGTTAAACAAAATTTCCCGCGCTTTTTATATATCAAATGCAACTATGTAACAGCTGACTTTAATGTGTAAACTATTAATGGTATTCCCTAAATTTACAAAAAAAATACTATTTAATCTAGTTTAAGTATATATATTCAATAAATAAAAGAAAATTGTAACAAAATTTTTTTTGAATAAATGCCAAAAAAAATCAATTATACATTTCACTAAAATAAACAGAATTACATATTATTTTAGAAAGAAAAGAATTTGCCAGCAACGGAAAAAATTTGATTACAATTTCAAATAAATTAGGATAGGTACTTTTCATACCTTCCCAAAAAGACAAAAGGTTGCTTTCAAATGGCGTTTACTGCATTCGCAGATAATGAGGTTTTACAAAACATCGATGCATCGTTCAACATCGGTATAAGCTAAAACATCGGTAAAAATTGGTAATAAAACTAGTATGGACACTAAGCGAACAATTAGTGGTATGGGGACCAACAAAGACGGCCACTATAAGGGGAGCCGTTATAGCCGGATTCCACTATATATACACATTCATGATTCATCAGCGGAAATCGCTAGACAATTAGAGACGATCACATGCACACACATAGATATCTATGTATTTTCATATATGTATGTATGTACATATGTATGCATAAACATACAAGTACACATGTATGTATATGTATTTAAATATTGAAAGTTAACAGGATCTCTAAGATGACTGACTCTCCACAAGGATGTTTTGAGAAAGTAAGAGTGAGTGTGAGTGAGTGAGTGAATAAAGAATAAATACATATGTATGGATGTACATTCATGGAAACAACTTACGATGTTACAATTTTTTTTTTTGTACAGGCGACAAACGTGATTCGAAGCTTATAGCATTCAGCTTTTTATCATGCTCGAACAGCTGATTGTCAGAAACACATATGCTTGGTGTATCTTTTCTTGATTGGTTAGTTTGCACTTTGTTTTCACATTTTCTCCATGCACAATAATTCGTATGTCTCGATTGCAAAATTTTGATTGCGAAAAGCTTCTAAAACAACGATAAAGCGAAACACTCGCAACACACTGTAAAACTACAATTAAAAACAGATTAACATTAATAAACCAGTTGCCAAATAGGCTATTGTTTGAATCTTAACATATTTAACCAAATCACCAATAATAATTACAATAAAAAAGTTTAATAGTTATCACAAATTATTTGTAAAATTCTGCCATGCATAGCAGTGGAACAAAACACAACTGAACAGCACGAGAGCTTAAAGCTTAATGTTGTACATATATGTATACTTATGTAATTATTGCGGACTAGCTTAGTTTTCATTTTTCCATTGCTATAATAAAAAAAAAAAAGAAAAATTCATTGCTACGTACATACACATATATATGCATATTGACACTCATGAATATTTATGTGTATAGTAATGCATTTATTTTTTTATGCATATATGCACATACATATTTATATTTTCACAAACATACATACATTTTTTACCAATTAAACGTAATACAATTGTATATACATACATATATATACAGGCATATGTACATATGTATATACATTTATATACGTACATATATACATATGTATGTATGTATGTCAGTGGACTTATACACAATAAATATATTGGTACTATACAATCAAAAGCTATTGGTGAAAAGGTTAATTCGCTTGCAGTGAATATATCAAAGTCCAAAGTTAAAACAAAGTATATGTAAATACATACATACATACATACATATATACATACATACACATCGTCGCATTTCCGCAAAATGATCGTATGTTGATTTTTTGCGAAATTGAAATTTTAATGCAGACATAAAGCGTCTGTCTCACATACTTGCAAAAAAATAACAGCTGAATTCACTCCAGTTTCGGAAAATAAAAATCAATTTCCATTTAAGCCTATGTACCCTAACATATAATAAAACAACTAAGAAAGCTCTAGTCGAGACTTCTCGACTACGAGATCCCCTGAACCCTTGGAGTAATAGCTATTTCAATAATTTTTCGCGTCTTTCAGCTTACACAAGAAACACGCACACACACGCACGCACACGCAGGCATACATACACACACATACATACACACACATACATACACACACATACACAAACACACATACACAAACATTTACATACATATACACACACAAGCATAAACACGCATGGGCGGCAGTGAGCGCTTACTATGAGAACTTAATTGCTTAATAACTTTTGTGGACGTACGATCTTCATGAAACTTTCAGATTATGAATATAACATAGATATGCATGTATTTGCCAAAGCACAAGACCCTAGTATTTGAAATACGCCTTTTACAAATGTGAGGGTGATGGGGTGAATTAGGGGTGGGGGGAAAATTTTGACAAAAATCGAAATTGTATAAAATGAAAAGTATACATAAAAAATTTGGAGACTCTAGCTTTAAAGATGTAGGAGATATAAATTTATTACTGGTTTTCGATAATGTTTTTAATCGATAACAAAATAACGGGGCAATTCATCGATATTTAAAGCAAAACTCGATATGTGCGTGCTAAACGGACCTAGGAAAAAAAATTTCAAGTCTCTCGCTCTTATATCTTCTGAGATCGACGCGTTCAAACATACGGACAGACGGACAGAGCTAAATCGACTTAGCTCGTCGCCCTGATCAAGAATATATGTACATATATACTTTGTGGGGTGCGCCACGCCTCCTTCTGCCTGTTACACACATTTCAACAAAACCATTATACTCTGATTGCCCATTGACAATGGGTTCAGGGTATATGCATGTGTGCATAAAAGAAGTGCAGAACAAGTAGAATATCAGCTTAGAGGGTTCAGGATATCTCCCAGTCGAGCACTCTCGACTGGAGTCTTACTTGTTTAATACTGCATAACAGTTAATACTCAAGAAACGTATATTGACTTTTATTTTAATTTGATAATTAAAAGAGAAACATTAATGTTAGTGACTAGCTTTCATTTTTGCAGGTCTATTGCGCATTCTCTACGTGTTGTGTATTTTATACAAATAAACTTTTTTCGAAAATCATATTAAAATTGTTGTGCATTAGCTTACAAAGTCAAAGACATGGATGACTCCGATTCATCCGAGGTAAGAAAACAGTTTGTATAACAAATATGGGTTGCCTACTGGGGAATATCCACAAAAAAAAAAAAAAAAAAAAAAAAATTAAATAAATAAAAAATTCTGAGCTCTGCGCATGTCTGCGATGTCATGGTATTTATTTATAATATGTGTAAAATTTACATACCACGATCGTTAAAAAAAAAAACACCAAAATTGAATTGATATAACAATATTTATTATTTTACGTATGTATGTATGTGTGTAAATAGATAATATAGATAGTAATGCAATTAATTAATGCAGGAATTTTTTGACGCAAGATCGGAGCAATCCGACACAACACCATTAGAAATGGACCTCACAACATCTCTCAAGGAGGGAAAACTAGCCATCAACTATTTCTTTGATAACAGATTTGACGAGGCTCGGAAGCTATTAAAAACTTTTACTGGATTGAGTCTATATCATTCATTGGGCACTGCAGTGTTTGCATTTCTTGAGGCAATGCTTACTTTTGAGCACGTTGACGAAGCATCTGCCGAACTTAAAAGGTGTATAGACCTCTGCCAACGTTTGCGAAAAAAAAGCACTTTAGCGGGAGCAATCAGCAATACTTTCAAAAAAGTATAATCCATGCAATTGAATATCTTACAAATATAATTTATATAAAATTTGGATCGTTTGTAGAGAAATTTCAACAGTCTCACAGACCTGGAATGCCACGCAGAGCTCTGTATGGCCGAAGTGTTGCTGATGAGCGCGTTGCTCACCTTTATCGAGGACGAGAATCTCAGTGGACTCATCCGTGGCAGTTTACAAGTCCGTCAATGTTATAATTGTTTTAGGTATTATTACGAACGACTATGAAAAATAATGAATGAATTATATAAAAAGAGAGAGCTACCGAGAATATAGATAAAAGCCCTGTTTTTCAGATTCTGTGGACAAATAATGAAACACCGCACATGGGAATCGAGTCCAACGAGCGTAAAAATTCATTTTCGAAGCGGAGTATATCTGGGAATTGGTACTTTTAACCTGATGATATCTATGCTACCTGTTCGCGTTATTAAAGTACTGCAATTTATTGGGTTCTCTACTAATAGGGTAAGCTCCGCATAACGACAGAGTCCTTACCATTTATTTATTTTAAGTGACACTGTTTAGAAGGATGGGTTAAATGATCTACGCACAGGATATCAAGAAACCGGATTACGGCAAATATTATGTGCACTATCATTGTTGGGTTATTATCTAATGGTTATACCCATGCTCAGCGCTAAACTTTCCACGAATGATCTCAATTTATGTGATGAGATACTGACTAGCCAGTTGGTCAAATATCCGAATGGTGTTTGGACGTTGTTCTTTAAGGGGAGATTTGAATTAATCCAAGGCCATTTAGATGCCGCTGAGTCGTGGTATGTGCGGTCGTGGAAATCTCAGGATGCCTGGCCCCAATTTCACTATTTGAGCTTTTGGGAACTGTTATGGATCAATTGTATACAGCAGAAGTGGAGTGATGCTCAATTTTATGCTAGCCAATTATTCGAGAAGAGTAAGTGGTCACGATCTATATATACCTATCAGTTAGCTGCCATCAAATTAATGTTAAACCCAAAATCGGACGAAGACAAAAGCGAAATTAAAAGGTTAATGTTGGAGGTTCCAGCGTACCGGCAAAAAATCGCTGGCAAATCTTTGCCAATGGAGAAATTTATGGCTGGCCGGTCTATCCGATATAATAGCCAGAATAATAGACTCGTCTTGCCCATAATTGAGTTGATGTACCTATGGAATATCTTTAAATTTATTGGAAAAAATTACCAAATAGCTGATAGTATTCTACAAATCATAAATGGCGAGCTCGCCATGTTTGACAAACCATCTACTGATTTATATTACGCTGATAATCGTGCACTATGCCTTTTGCTACGTGGATCGTGCTATGTCCAAATGGGTAAATCTGTATTAGCTTTACAGTAAGTATCTCTCAATCCCCATATATGTACCTTATATGAAAACAATGCTGAAATCCGGCATGCAGGGATTTTACTGAATGTATTCATCAAAATGGAATTGTCGAAGATCACTTTATAATCCCATATGCCTACGTAGAATGTGCTCTTTGTCACGCCGCTAATGATCCGGCTCTGGCAATATCCATGCTGCAGAACACTAAGTACGAATAGATATATTACTATTAAATTACTATGAAGTACTTATTTTACATATTTTTATTTAAGAAAGAAGTTCTCGAAATATGCATTGGARTCGAGGCTGCATTTCAGGATTCATATGGCTCTCATGGAATTAAATGGAAATAGTCACAGATTGTAACA